CAAATGCTGTTTTTTAGGCAGATGGAGTGAGCACAATAATGCAATGGCCACATTTAACCTCAGACTTCGCAAAGGAGAGCCCTCCCTTCCTAGTTTCATTGCCAGTATGGGCAAAGCTGTCAAAGAGCACTGCATGTTCCAAGGAGTTCTATGCTATCAATTCAATTATCTTTCCTTTCATGACTTAACCACTTGCCTACCGGGCACTTATACCCCCTTCCTGCCCAGGTCAATTTAATCTTTCAGCGATGTCGCACTTTGAATGACATGCAACACTGTACCCATATGAAATTTTTATCATTTTTTTCACACACATAGTGCTTTCTTATGGTGGTATTTAATTGCCATTGGGTTTTTTATTCTTTGCACTATAAAAAGAGCAAAAAAAAAAAAAGTTTTTCTTTGTTTCTATTATACAATTTTTCAAACAGGTATTGTACCTTGATGAGGTTGCACTGATAGGCAGCACTGATGGAACTGATAGGGTGTACTGATGAGGTGGCACTGGTGGGCATTGATGAGGAGGCACTGATGAAGCTCTCACTGTTATGCAGCAATGATGGTCACTGATAGGTGACACTTATTGATGGAACTGACTGGAGGCACTGATGAGCAGCACTGATGGGTGGCACTGCGGGGCACTGTTGGGTGGCACTGCTGGGCACTGATGGGAGGCACTGATGGGAGGCACTGCTGGGTACTGGTAGGTGGCACTGCAGGGCACTGATCATCAGTGCCTACCTGCTCTGTGACAGCTGCCAGTTATCAGCAGTACTTTCCTCATGCTGTGATAGCGTGAGGAAAGTGCTGCCAATAACTGGCAATTGTATTTACTCCATGATTTGCGGTGTCATTGGACACAGCTGATCACGTGGTAAAAGGCCGCTGTGATTGGCCTTTTACCTCATTACATGATCAGATGTGTCCATGATGGAGATTCCAGGTGCACGCCACTTGGGGCGCACAGGAGGGCGCGTGGGAGGACGTCATAGGACGCCCTCCCAGAACTGGATAACCATGCTGTAGCCGTCATTGAGCTATAGCGCGGTTAGCAAGTGGTTAAACCATATCTAAATCTAAAAAGCCTGTAATTGATGTGAATCAGCAAAACACTGCATGCAACATTGGATCAGTATGGTGTAAATTAGTGCCGAAAAATACAGAAGTGTATGATGAGCCAATCAGCAATTTACGCCCTTTCTTACCCAGTAGTGGCAATGCTTGACAGGAGGCCAAGTGTTCTAACCTAAAGATTTGTAGGGCCCATTCATTTTCAATGGCACCCCAATGCACAAAATGAATGCAATGTTAATATACTATACTGAAAACATGATGAGGCATTATCAGATTTTTAGAGCGCTGGGTCGAATAAAATAGTGCTTGTCCAATTTTTGATCTGTTTACTGCATTGAAATTAATGGGCTGTTGACCAAGGCATGTCAATAGATCTTTTCATCAGGAATAGGCCTTGTTATCAGGAGCACTGTGCAGGTTTTCATTTCAAAGATGGGAAGATATCTTGGTCTTTTTTTTTTTTTTAATTTAAATATTTATTAGTTTTTCATATTATTACAAAAATTCCATAAGAAGAGACACAATACATATAAATAATCAATACATTTCTACTTTGCCCCTTCTATTTACCTCTTTTCTTTCCCTCCCCTCCCAACCCACTTCTACCCCCCCTTCCCCCTCCCTACCCTCTGCAAGATCTCCAATCTCTCATTCCCAATAATTTTAAATAACTTCCTAGTTTAAAATTTTCTGTATTTCTCTTTCAATCCTGATTTTTCCCATTTTTCCCATCGCGAATAGTATATTTCCAACCTGTCTTCCTGGATATAGTAAGATTTTTCCATTCTACTAATCTGGTTTACCCTATTGATCCAATCCTCCTCCATCGGCACCTCTGTCTTCCGCCAAAACTTGGGTATCAACCCCTTTGCAGCACTCAAGTAGTACCATACGCCTGATTCTTTATATTTATTTACTGTTGTCTCAACATTATGTAGGAGACACATGGTTGGGTCTAACCCTATGTCATTTCCAGTTATTATTTCTATTAATTTAACTATTGTCTTCCAGAAAACCTGAATTTTTGGACATTGCCACCATATGTGAAACACCGTGCCCTCCTCCCCACATCCTCTCCAACACATTTTTGAATTCTCCCCACTCATCCTGTGCTCAGTGCTCGGTGTAATATGCCATCGTGTCAGACATTTATATAGTTAATCTCAACGTCTCTCATACTAACACTCTCGTGTACCAATCTAAATATCTTATTCTGTTGATCCTCATCTATCACCACCTCCATATCTCTTTCCCAATTTGTTATAAAAATTAACTTTGTGTCTGTGTCTAATTCTGTGAGTATTCTATAAATTTTTGTAACACCGTGTTTCCCATCTCTACGTGTTTCTAATAGCCTTTCAAACATATTCCACTCCTTTTTTAATCTCAAAGGTTTTGGGAGATTTCCAATGAAACATTTTAATTGATGATATTTCCACTCATCTATTTTAGTAAACATATCTCCCCCCCTCTCTTTTAATTCTTTAAATGTTCTCAATTCCCCCTCTACCAATACGTCTCTCAATTGGATATCTTCCTTTTTAAACCATCTCCCTGATATCTCATCTTTTCCTGGAGGGAAAAACTCCGTGTTTGCAAGAGGCATTAATATAGAGTTGAATTCCCGTTTCATGTGTTTATGTAAATTATCCCATGTCCTTAAAACATTTAAAGTGAAAGTGCTTGTGTTTTCTTTAATTCTTCTATAATGTGCTGGAACCCATATCATCTTACTCAAACTAATTCCACTCAGTTCGTTTTCTATTTTTACCCAACTTTTCCCCTTATGATTAAAAGTCCAATCATAAATTCTTGCTAAAATTACTGCTTTATAATATCTCTTGACATCAGGTAGTCCCATCCCCCCTTTCTCTTTAGTCCTACTTAGTGTGTTTCGTATGATATTCTTGGTTTTTTATTCCTCCATATATATCTTGTTAACATTCTTCTCATTATCTTAAAAAAACGCCTCTGGGAGTTTGATTGGGACCATTTGAAATCTATAGAGTATTTTAGGTATAATTACCATTTTAACTAGGTTTATACGTCCTAACCATGATGGATTTCCTCCTTCTAATCTTTTTAATTCATCCTTAGTCTCATTTATCAGAGAAATATAGTATAATCTATACAATTGTTTATATGAGGTAACAAGTTTTATTCCTAGGTATTTGATATCTTTTTCTCTCCATATAAAGGGGAATTCTTTTTGTAGCTTTTCTTTTTCGCTCTTTGGTATATTGATGTTCAGAATCTCTGTTTTTGTTGGGTTTTTAGATTTGATAGTTCGCCATATTCCTTCAGGGTCTTCATTATACTTGGTAGTGTTATTCGGGGGTTGCCTACATAAAACAATAGGTCGTCCGCAAAGGCCGCTACTTTATGTTCTATATTTTCTATCTGGATTCCCTTTACCGCTCCACCATTCCTTATTATTGACAACAGGGGTTCCAATGTCAAAACGTACAAGGGGGACAATGGGCAGCCTTGTCTTGTTCCATTGGACATCCCAATGGATTCCGACCTCTCCCCATTTACCGTGATGATTGCGGTGGGCTCCCTATATAATCTACCTATCCACTCACGCATTCTCTCTCCAATCCCCAACACTTCCAAGTTGTCCATCATAAAGCCCCAGTCCACTCTATCAAACGCCTTTTCGGCATCAATTGACAAGAGCACCACCGGGGCTTTCCCTTTTCTACTTTTCTGAATAAGCATTAAAGTTCTCAACCCATTATCTCTACCCTCTCTCCCTGGGACAAAGCCCACCTGAACTCCATGGATCCATTCAGGCATTAGATCTTTCAGCCTGTTTGCTAAAACCTTTGTGTACAACTTGGTATCAGTGTTCAATAATGAAATTGGTCTATAGCTAGAGCACTGAGAAGGATCTTGTCAGGGCTCCCGGGTATGACCAGAGGTGTGTGGCTGACGCAGGGAAACGCAGACTTCAGATAGGTTATAAACAATATAATTTATTGACACTAACAATACAAACATAAACGCAGTGCAATACTAAAACATAACATAGTGCAAACGAACCAAACCAAACCACCCACAGATAACAGTACATACAGTGCAAGCGTCGTCAGGCAGGCCGGGTCAATATCAATCAGGCAGGTAGGTACAGGGGGAGCAAGCGGAGAATGGTCGGGGTCACAAGCCAGGTTCAGCAGGTAGCTGGCAGCGTGGTACAGAGGGTCAGGCAGAGGGATGGTCAGGAACGAGCCGGGGTCAGAGCAGGAGAAGTCAGCAGAGGTCAGATCAGGCAGGGTCAGCAACAAGACAGGAACAGGAACAGGAACAGGATGCAGGAACAGGATACAGGGCCCAGGAAAAACACACACCAAGGCAGAGTCTGCAGGTTTGGCCATCCCTTAAATACACCAGTAAATCAGTTCCAGGTGTTTGACTGGCTGCAAGGTTGAGTCTCTGATTGCTGGGAGCACCCGCTGGCCAGCCCTGGTACTGCAGCTCATAAGGCAGGTGAGTCCCACCATTGCTGGCCAGTCCATTCCTGACAGTACCCCCCCCCTCAATGAGCGGCCTCAGGACGCTCCAAACAGTCCTAGCTGGGAAAAATGTTCCACCGCCCGGGTCTGGTAACTGGCGGGATATCAAAGACTGGCACACCGGGCAAGACTCCGGGCAGCGACACACCAGGCCGGACTCCGGGCAAAGGCACACCAGGCAGGGGCACACCGGGCAGAGGCACACCGGGCAGGGGCACACCGGGCAGAGGCACACCGGGCAGAGGCACATCGGGCTGGACTCCGGGCAGAGGCACATCGGGCTGGACTCCGGGCAGAGGCACATCGGGCTGGACTCCGGGCAGAGGCACATCGGGCTGGACTCCGGGCAGAGGCACATCGGATTACCAGGCAGAGCAGCAGCAGGCACCGGGCCACCGGGCGGAGCAGCAGGCACCGGGCCACCGGGCGGAGCAGCAGGCACCGGGCCACCAGGCGGAGCAGCAGGCACCGGGCCCCGGGCGGAGCAGCAGGCACCGGGCCCCCGGGCGGGACGACGGGCACCGGGCCCCCAGGCGGGGCAACGGGCATCGGGCCCCCCGGCGGGGCGACGGGCACCGGGCCCCCCGGCGGGTGACGGGCATCGGGCCCCCCGGCAGGGCGACGGGCATCGGGCCCCCCGGCGGAGCGGCAGGCATCGGGCCACCAGGCGGAGCGGCAGGCATCGGGCACCCAGGAGGGGCGACAGGCATCGGGCCCCCAGGCGGAGCGACGGGCATCGGGCCCCCAGGCGGAGCGGCGGGCGCCGGGACCCCCCCAGGCGGAGCGACAGGTCTCGGGCCCCCAGGCGCAGCGGCGGGCGCCGGACCCCCAGGCGGAGCGACAGGTCTCGGGCCCCCAGGCGGAGCGGCGGGCGCCGGACCCCCAGGCGGAGCGGCGGGCGCCGGACCCCCAGGCGGAGCGACAGGTCTCAGGCCCCCAGGCGGAGCGGCGGGTGCCGGACCCCCAGGCGGAGCGACAGGTCTCGGGCCCCCAGGCGGAGCGACAGGTCTCGGGCCCCCAGGCGGAGTGACAGGTCTCAGGCCCCCAGGCGGAGCGACAGGTCTCGGGCCCCCAGGCGGAGCGACAGGTCTCAGGCCCCCAGGCGGAGCGACAGGTCTCAGGCCCCCAGGCGAAGCGGCAGGCGCCGGACCCCCAGGCGGAGCGACAGGTCTCGGGCCCCCAGGCGGAGTGGCGGGCGCCGGACCCCCAGGCGGAGTGGCGGGCGCCGGACCCCCAGGCGGAGCGACAGGTCTCGGGCCCCCAGGCGGAGCGGCGGGCACCGAGTCACCAGGCACGACAGTGGGCTCCGAGTCAACTGGCATGACCGCTGGCACTGGGTCAGACATTGGATCGTCTGGCTGGACAGCGGGCATCGGGTCACCAGGCATCAGGTCATTTGGCTCGACAGCGGGCACCGCGTCATCTGGCAAGGCAGTGGGCTCCGAGTCAACTGGTATGACCGCGGGCACTGGATCAGACATTGGATCGTCTGGCTGGACAGCGGGCATCGGGTCACCAGGCATCAGGTCATTTGGCTCAACAGCGGGCACCGCGTCATCTGGCAAGACAGTGGGCACCAAGTCACCAGGCACGACAGTGGGCTCTGACTCAATTGGCACGACAGCGGGCACCGGGTCATCAGGTACCGGATTGTCTGGCTCGACAGCGGGCATCGGGTCACCAGGTATGACAGCGGGCACTGGGTCACCAGGCATCAGGTCATTTGGCTTGCCAGCGGGCACCGCGTCATCTGGCAAGGTAGTGGGCACCGGGTCACCAGGCACGACAGTGGGCTCTGACTCAATTGGCACGACAGCGGGCACCGGGTCATCAGGTACCGGATCGTCTGGCTCGACAGCGGGCATCGGGTCACCAGGTATGACAGCGGGCACTGGGTCACGTACCGGATCATCTGGATCAACAGCGGGCATCGAGTCAACTGGCCTAATAGGATCATCAGGCTGGATCAGTTCATCAGACTGAGTGGAGGCATCAGGCTGAGTAGAGGCATCAGGCTGAGTAGAGGCATCAGGCTGAGTAGAGGCATCAGGCTGAAGAGAGGCATCAGGCTGAGTAGAGGCATCAGGCTGAGTAGAGGCATCAGGCTGAGTAGAGGCATCAGGCTGAGTGGAGGCATCAGGCTGAGTACAGACATCAGGCCGGGTACAGACATCAGGTTGAAGTGCCGGTGCCGAGGCACCAGGTTGAACCACGGAAGGCAGGTTCTCAGACGGCAGGCTCACCGGTTTGGATACTGGCAGGATGGTACTGGTTGGAAAGAATTTTCGCTTTTTTTCTGGTTTTAACTACTGGAGCACTGCAAGTAAACGCAGGTCTGCAAACGAATGGAGCAGCTGGAGACATAGAAGAGCTGGAGGATGGAACAGAGGAGGGAGCAGTTGCTACAGAGGGCTTTTTTACAGGGTTAAAGGCAGGATAGGTGCAGCGAGTGGGAACTGGGTACTGACATGCGGTAGATAGCAGGGCAGGAGGAGCTGTTGGGAATGCAGGAATAGAGCTTTGAGGAAATAGATTAATAGCAGGACTGGGTTTTTGTAGGCTGACTGAGGCTGGGTGCAACAAATCTGTCCATGTCTGCAGTGGGTTGAACAAAGCTCAGCTTACACAAAGCCTGTCTGACCAAAGACTGCACTGCGTTTATACAATCTCTTAGTATCTGTGGTGAACATGCAGCATAATGCTCCAAGAAGCAATCCACATCATCCTCTAATAACCATACCAGGGACTCTACCTGGTCGGCACTAAATGGCGGCAAAAATTCATCCCTGCCTTCGGGGGTACCAGATGAAACCAACTCCGCACAAATCTGAATCAATGGCTGCACCTCAGAGAATTCTGTGCCCTGATCTACTGGAACATGAGCGAGCCGTATACATTCTACAGTTCATCCCGGGGATACTCCTTCAGAGTTTGATAAGCATACTCTCTGTCATCAAACACTAGCAGATATAGATACACAACCTCATCAAGATCCATCCTTCCCATCAACAAACCAAGATGGCTTCCCTGTGCAGCCACTTCTGGTCAGGATTGGCCTTGGTGTAATGTCAGGGCTCCCGGGTATGACCAGAGGTGTGTGGCTGACGCAGGGAAACGCAGACTTCAGATAGGTTATAAACAATATAATTTATTGACACTAACAATACAAACATAAACTCAGTGCAATACTAAAACATAACATAGTGCAAACAAACCAAACCAAACCACCCACAGATAACAGTACATACAGTGCAAGCGTCGTCAGGCAGGCCGGGTCAATATCAATCGGGCAGGTAGGTACAGGGGGAGCAAGTGGAGAATGGTCGGGGTCACAAGCCAGGTTCAGCAGGTAGCTGGCAGCGTGGTACAGAGGGTCAGGCAGAGGGATGGTCAGGAACGAGCCGGGGTCAGAGCAGGAGAAGTCAGCAGAGGTCAGATCAGGCAGGGTCAGCAACAAGACAGGAACAGGAACAGGAACAGGATGCAGGAACAGGATACAGGGCCCAGGAAAAACACACACCAAGGCAGAGTCTGCAGGTTTGGCCATCCCTTAAATACACCAGTATAATCAGTTCCAGGTGTTTGACTGGCTGCAAGGTTGAGTCTCTGATTGCTGGGAGCACCCGCTGGCCAGCCCTGGTACTGCAGCTCATAAGGCAGGTGAGTCCCACCATTGCTGGCCAGTCCATTCCTGACAGATCTTTTCCCTCCTTATGAATGAGAACGACATGGGCCTGAAGGGATTCCCTCCTCCCCTCCTTCCCACCTCCCAAGTCATTCATATACTTCTTCAACTTCGGTAACAGTAATTCACTAAATTTTTTATAGTACTTAACTGTATAACCATCCGGGCCTGGGCTTTTCCCACCCCCTGTACTTCTTAATGCTGCTTCTATTTCTTCCTGGGAAATTTCCGCATCCAAGGAGTTCAATTGTGTTTCACTGAGCTTTGGTAATCCCGCATTTTTTAAATATATCATCCTTTTTTCGTTAATACCTTCTCTAATTTCTTTTGGTGGACCTTGGTGACTGATGTTATACAACTTTCTATAATACTCCGTGAATACTTTAATAATTTCTTTAGTTGAGTGGACCAACTCCCCCTTAGGGCTTTTTATCTTTTCTATATAATTCCTGTTTTTTTTTTTATTCAGGGCTCTCATTAAGTATTTTCCTGGTCTATCTCCCCATCTATATCTTTCACTTAATACTTTGTTATATACTCTTCTCCTCTCCTCTTCCATCAATCTCTCTAATTCGTCTTTTTTATCCATTAACTTCTGTCTTGTTTCTATTGTTATTTTCTTCTTATATATCTGCTCCAAATACAGGATTTCCTTTAGGAGTCCACTAACCCTCTCTCTTCTTTCTTTTTTCTTCCTTGCTCCCATCGCAATCAAGATTCCTCTTATATATACCTTATGGCTTTTCCCATACTGTAGCTGTCGATACTTCCTCTGTCTCGTTCTCCTTGAAATATACCTTAATCTCTTCCCTGATCTTCTGCACAATGTCCTCATCCAAGAGAAGAGCCTCATTTAACCTCCATCCCAAGCCTCCCGTCCACCTTCTTCCCCATCCTATTTTCATTATGACAGGGAAAGTTCTTGTCTCTATTTCTATTTTAACCAGCATTTCAATGAGTTGATGGTCTATTAAAATATAATCCAGTCTCGAGGATATCTCATGTGCATTAGAGAAGAAGGTATAGTCTCTGTCTTTCATATGCATTATTCTCCAGGTGTCCACCAGTTGGTACTCGTGGATCACCTTCTTCAAAGCTCTCAGAGACCTACCCCCCTCTCTCTGCACAAGGGAGGTTGCATCCTTTTGTGGATCCATACAGAGATTTTAAATCTCCTGCTATTATCAAACGCCCTTTTTTAAAATCTATCAATTTTTTCAGCAAACCCTTCAAAAAGATCTCCGGTTTCTTGTTGGGGCAATATATATTGGCTAGTGTACACTCAATTCCCTGTAGTTTACCTTTCAAGAACAGGAATCTCCCCTCCGGGTCAGTCTTTCTATCTTCCAGCTCAAATCTCATATTCTTTGCCAATCCTATTGCCACCCCCTTTGCTCTTTTAATTGGAGAGTCAGCGTAATACCATGTTGGATAATATTTGGATTTTAGTTTCACGTTTGATTCTATCTCAAAATGTGTCTCCTGTAAAAATACCACTGACGTTGCCCTGTGATGTAACTCTTTAAACAATTTAAATCTTTTCCCAGGACAATTCAACCCATTCACATTATATGTTATAAACTGTATTTCTTCCATCCTTCTTGATTCTGTCTATCTCTCTTCTGATTCGTCTCCTCCTATTAGGCCCAAATATCTTGCAGAATATTAACCCCATAACCCCTCCCCCCCCCCTCCCTCCCGCCCAACCCCCATCTCCCCCCCCCCACCCCCACACCCCCTCTCTTATTTTTCCCCTACCCATTTTTAGGCTTATAAACTGCCTACAAATCATTTGTGGAACTGTTTCCACGGCTGATTTAAAATATTAGGCTTAGGCTCCGCCCATGGACGGCTCACCTCTCCTCCAACCTCCCCAGCTCCCCTTTCTCTATCAACTGGACTCAGCAATAACCTTTTCTTCCCCTCCTTAACCGGAGCTTCCAAAGGGACTTCCACTTCAACAGGGGGGATACAAAGGGGGGGGTGAGGGAAAAAGAGAGAGAAGAAGAAAAAAAGCATATTTTTTACTTAACTCTCCCTCCCCTTTCTCCCCAACCCCAGGGCCTCCCTCCCCCTCCCCCCGACCCGCTGCCAGTCCTCCTTTCTTGTATCATCCATATCTCCTTTTTCTTCTTCCCACCCAGCTATCTCCATTCTTTGTAAGTCCAGTCTATCACAAAAATCTCTCAATTCCTCCGGCAATCTCAGATATGCTGTGACCCCATTTTTCCAGCCAATTAGAGATGCTGAGGTACCCCATCTATATTGCACATTCTGTTTTCTCATTTGCTCTAATAGGGGTCTCAGGGATCTCCTTCTCCATAGAGTCTCTGATGTTAAGTCCGCAAAAATTTGAATAGTCAAATCTCCATACTTAATTAATGATCTTCCCTTGATCCTCTTCCAAATCTCATTTTTGACCCCATATTTCTGGAACTGGACAACTATATCTCTCGATCTTTCCCTCTCAGTAGCTTGTTTGAACTTTCCTATTCTGAACACTCCATCCAGTTCAATCACGTCTGTTTCAGGACTGTCTCTTATGGAGTTTAAGATTTTATTAACTAGTTCATATAATGTTTCCCCTTTTGCAGACTCTGGAATTCCTCGCACCCTAAGGTTACACCTTCTTTCTTTATTTTCTTGAATTTCCATCCTATAGAGCAATTTTTTCTGGGTTTTTCTCTCCAATGGGTTGTTTTTTTCTTTAGATTATCTATGGTTTGGGCCTGGGTTTTAACTTTCTCCTCTGTTTCTTCCATTCTTGATAGCATATGCCCTAAGTCGTTTCGAATAACTGTCATTTCATGTTTTATCGTTTTCTCCAAACTTTGAAACATTTCTATCATCTCCTTCTTATTCGGTACTTGTAGTTCACCATCAAGTTCTTTTTTTCCCAAGCCATCCGCTATTTGTTGGCTACAACTGCTGTTCATACCCAGTGATAATCTAGGACTATTTCCTGAGCTAGTGTCCATTTCCCCTTTAGCACTTGCGCCTTGGGCCCTTTCTGGCGTAATATTTCCATATGATGTAAATTTCTTTATCGTGCCTGATTGAGACCCATTGAGCCCTGCTCCATTAGGACCTTTATTCTTCATATCCTCTATATGTCTTTTGTCTTCTATATTCTCTAGATGGGGTTGTACCTCCCCTTTATGGTTTGTGATCCAGACAGGTTTGCTGATTTTCCTTATGTTTTGCTCTCCTAGGGCACCTGGGACTCTTCTCTTCTATACCCAGGGAATCCTTCCCTCTCCTCCTTGACCCCTTGGTCCTCAATGTCACTCAGGAGTCCACTACACAATAGACCCCCAACAGCTCTCACTCACCCTTCTCTTCCCAGGACGGTGGCTCCAAGCTTAGGAGGAGGGACTTCACAGTAGCTCTGTCCTCTGGCTTCTGACGCTGTGCCTCGTTTTTTTTTCTCTCTGGGCTTCGTCCCAGGGATGCAGGGTGGGTCTCCTAGCACTCCCGGGTCTCCCTGACCCAGGATCGCACAGTCAACTGACCGGGGGC